GCTCTTGCTATGGCTCTAATAGCTCTGACCCCAGGGCAACTTTATTTATTAACATAAAATTAAAATCACATTTCAGTACAAATAAAATATCACCACAGTATAGTATTCCTGTTGGTTAGCTTTGCTGGGTATAATATTCCTGTTGGCAGACTTTTGTTTTTAGGTTTTTGTTTTGCTTTGTTTATCTTCTTTCTTCCTTCTTCAATATGTGAATATCTCATCTCAGTCTCTTCTGGATGTTAAAGTTCTGCAATTCTCCAGTTGAGTGATGAGTGGCTGAGTGGAATTAAAAAAAAAAAAAGATTCCGATACATACTACTGGAAGGCAACAAAAAAGCCAAATTTCACCTCTAAGGACAGGTGTACACTATCGATCCCTTTACATGTACATGCTATTTGTTCCCTTTTTTTCTTGTTTCTTTCAGAATCTTATCTTTAACCTTTGACTTGGTTATAATGGATCTTGAAGTATAAACTCTCCATTCTTATTTTCCTGTCCTTCTTGAACCCTAGTAGCCCCAAAATTTTCTCTTTTAATGCTTTCCTATAGTTCCTGCAATCTTTAGATATTCTTACTCCTTTTTTCTTTTCCTTATATGTATACTTAAAATAGTCTGGTTTGGGAGATAGCTGATTCTTCTTGTTTCTGCCATTGATGCTTCTATTACATTTTCCATTCTACTTACCGTGCTTTTAGCTCCAGGATGTTTTGGTTTTATAAATTATTTCAACTTTCTTTGGCAAATTGCAGAATTATTTGCATATATTTTCTTGAGGTTCCTAGAATTTCTTTAAAACATTTACTTTGAGTTTTTTGTCTTGAGAGATCACACACTTTGCGTGGTTCTGATGCCTTACTTTGTTCATTTTTGGGACCCTGAAACCTCTGGGTGCTTGTTGGCCTGCAGCAGTGTCTGCATATTGGATGTTTAGATGTTTATTACCATCATAGTAACCTGCCCTTGTTTTGTTTTATACTCATTGTTCCACAGTAATCTGTTTATTATTTTCACCAAGACCTTGGTCACTGTTCTTGTTTTAGCACTAGATGGCACCCTGAGTCTAGATTGTTGCCAACTCTGTGGTTCTCTTGCTGTCATCATGTCAACACTAGAGAGTGCCTTCAGCCTGAGTCTGTCACAGATCCACAGTCATCCTATAAAGCTGACATTGGCTTGATAGCAGGAAAGACCTAGACATTAGGAGCTCCATAGAAAGGTAGATAATGCTGTTTATGCATCTTTCTACTGAGCCAAGGTAGCCCCAAAAGTTGTTTCTACAGTTATTGACCTGTGTTCAGCACTTCAGGGTTCTTGCCCAGCACTCCGCAGCCTTGCTATGGGAGGTCTGGTTTATACCTCCGGAGAAATGATTTGCATCCATCTGTCTTCTTTTTCCAAATGAAGTTACTCTGTCTTTGCTGTCACTGATACCGTAATACTTGGTCTTACCCAGAGCTCATAGTCCATCAGAATGAGTACAGCACAGAGATAGGACAAAGTCTCATACTGTTGTGGTCTGCACAGAACTATGGTCTGTTTGTGGCCAGGAAGGCCTGGCATTCAGTTCTGAGGAAAACTGTGTGCTTAGTTTCCTGTCCTTCCTTTAGCAGATGAAGTCTTTTACACATTGTGTTGTTCAGGTCTTGAGTAGCATGGTAAAAACGATCCCTTGGTTGCCATGACTCATCCTAAGCTGACCTGTGACTGAGACTTGTGGCTGAAGGGCCTGGGATTATCCTAGAGGTTTACTCAAGGCCCAAGCTGCAGCTGATAGTGATGTGGCCTGAGCACAAGTCTGTCTTGTTGCACATTTCTGCTTAGCACTGAGGCCAGTCCAGAGGCTCCATCCATAGACTTTGACTTGGGGCAGTAGTAGTGAGACTTTGCCTGTTACTGTATTTTATAATATGTTTTAGTAGCTAATCTAGATACTTCAAGTATTATATATTAATTCATTTAATCATCATAAAGACCCAGTGAGATGACTCTTACACTTTTATAGTGAAAACCATAGCTCTTAAATACTGGAATTAAGAACTGAGGAAAACTTAGTATTTCACTTACATGCATATTTATCACTTATGCATTTTGAATGTCAATAAATTAATATACAAATTGGTAGGAATATTCAAAGAATATACATATATAACAAAGTATAAATTACATATTAATAAGAAAGTAAATTAGGAATGATGCCATTTAATTTTTATTAAGGTGGCATAAACTAAGAACTATGATATTGTTATGTGTTGGTAACAAAGTGAGGTAAAAAACACTTTCATATACTACCAGTGACTTGGAAAATTGTTACAGTGAGAACTGGCACTGCAGCTCAGTGTTAGAGTCTAGCATGTGAGATTCTTGGTTCAATCCTCAGTAATGCTGAGGGTTGGGGGGAATTGCAATAGTTACTTGGAAGAATAATTTGTCAGGTTTTTAAAAATTCTTATTTGCATGTGGTAATCTAAT